GGAACAGAGAGAGAGAGAGAGAGATGGGGGGAGAGACGGGGGGAGAGAGAGAGAGACAACATAGGGAGAGAGAAAGAAGGGGGAGGGAGTGTGTGTGAGAGAGAGAGAGAGAGAGAAAGAGAGAGAGAGAGGGATGGAAGTAGCAATTTATACAACAGTGTTAATTTCTCAAACCTGTATCTGGTCAGAAGATGGTGATTAATTTTCTGTAACTGCATGGCCATGGCGTAGTGTCAGCTGCAAAGCAAATCCCAGGTTTATATTAATGCACTCCTTCTAACAACTCCTTCACAGGGATTTACATTTTTTAAAGCTGTGTTTTTATTTAACAAAGAAAAACTACATTTAAACTACATTAGCAAGACTTAACATCATCATGTCCTTCTTAGATGTTTCCATTTGGAGGTTTAGTGTTTTTCTTCTTCACCAATTCCTGCAGCATCAACCGCAGTCTAGAACATTCTGACAATTTACCAAGAACCTGGACCTTCTAATGAGCAAAGGATTTACAGCCTTTTCTGAAACCTACTCGACGATGACTAATTGGAACAAAAGCGCTCAAAGTGCTACAATTTTTCAGGCTCAATTTTGAAATGTGACATTTTTTTTTACCTGAAATATTTAATTAAAGCACTCCAAGGCTCGAACCAAAGCTTAAAGAAAGTTGTCTTGAGGTTTATGAGCGATTCACTAATAAATGCCAATGCAGCAGTATGCATCGTCTTTGCTTTGGATGTTTGAGGACGTGCTAATTGGAATGATGCGAATATGATTAAGCTGATTATGGCAGCAGATAAATGCCATGTGTGATAGTAATCAGTAATTGAACACTTCCCAGGAAAAATAGATTTCATAAAAACATATTTTTTTAATATTAGACTTTATAGCCTAATAGACTTTAAAGATGCTTTAGACTTTTTTTCTTTCAACAAGATGCATAATTGAACACAGTAACCACTCAGATAACCTGAAACAAATCGACTGGCACTGAAATGAACTGATATTTGTGAGAACAAACTAAAAATACTGACTTGGCTAATATCCAGTGTAAGCCAATCACCACTGTTTTGGGTGCAGTATATCCGTTCGTTCATTCATTCATTCATTCATTCATTGTTTTTGTTGTTTTTGTTAGTGGTGGTGTTACTAATAATAGATAGATAGATAGATAGATAGATAGATAGATAGATAGATAGATAGATAGGAAGGAATGCCCTAAAAATACTGGCTCAGCTAAAAATAAGCCAGTGAAGTATTTTTTTAATTTATTTATTTATTTATTTATTTATTTATTTATTTTTCTTGATGATGATGATGACAACAATTATTATTATTATTATTATTATTATTATTATTATTATTATTATTATTATTATTATAAACAACCATACAATCAAGTGACTGGTATTTCGGGGTGCAATATTTTATGTATTTAGTTGTTTATCCATTAATAATAATAATAATAATAATAATAATAAATAAACAAATATGTGACCATTTTGGGGTGCAGTGTTTTTATTCATTTGTTTGATTGTTTATTCATTCATTTATTTTATATGTTGAAAATACTTCACCTAATTATACTGACATTACTAACAATGAACATGTCTAACAGTCCGTCTAAGCCAGGGACCAGCATTTTTTTGGATTTAATTATATTTTTTATTTGTTTCTTTCTTTCTTTCTTTCTTTCTTTCTTTGCTTTTCATCATATTTTATTATTATTATTATTATTATTATTATTATCAGTAGTGGTAGTAAGAGATTTAGATACAGTTTTATATTGATGAATTAATAAAAGGCACACAGAATATAATAAAACTAAAACCGGTTTGTCCCTCTGTCCTTCTGTCCCCCAAAAGCTTCCTGGAATTATGAATTCTCTCCTGAGTAGATGATAGATAGATAAGAAACTGGTGACTCAGTGGACACAGATGATGTTGGTGGACCACTGGTTGTTTCTATTAAAGAGCGAAACCAAACTGCAACTCAAAACGCAGCATGTTGCTGTTGGGAAAATCTGTGCAGCAAGATGCCAAGAAAAAGTGAGCAGGGAAAGAAATGAGTCAGCGGCGTCTGAGCCAAACATGCTTCATGGGAAGTGCTTTAAAGCCAGACTGAGGAAAAGAACGAACCTTTGTAATTGATTCTGAGGCCAGT